CCCCAAAACCCCAAAACCCCAAAACCCCATCAGTGAATATCACAAGGGATCAAGCAGGAAGAATATCTAATAAAATTAAAAATTGAGTCAAAACATACGTAATTGATTAAGCAAATGATAAAGTACTCTGTTTTAATAAGATTTCAAAATGTGATTGATTAATAATTTAATTCAAAATTTTTGGAAGGCTTAGATTAATCTTAAATGACGTCTTCTACTCAAGAGCCTGAGAATAAAGTCGAGCAACCTAAAAAGTCAAATAGACATTCTAATAGTCGAGCAGCAAAAAAATCAACCCCCAAATCAGCAATTTTGAAATCGAAAGCTTAGTTTGCATTTTTCATATCAGTTATCATCATAGTATTGATTCTTGTGCCCTTTACGACAGAGACATATAAGTATGTTCAGGATTTTAAAAGGAAGAAACCAGAGGGATATGAGTGGCCCTCAATTTAAGATTTTTGGTTCACTGCTGTAGCAGCTTGTGTATTTTGGTCCTTGGAGCAAGCATTTTAGTACGCTCTGTATCCATGGTACTTGTAGCACTGCAAGGAGCAGAACGATCTTGAGATCAGAGATCAGAGAACTCGCAAAGCAGTCACTAATATATACAAATGCTGTTATTATACGGCCTCTAGCTTCTTTGGTTGGTATGCTCTGAAGGATTCCTACATCCTTCCTCCTGCTTTGGGAGGTAAGGGAAGCCTTGACTTACTATTCACAGATTTTCCATACATAACTCCTCCTCCTTTGTATAACTTCTATTTCACTGGAACAATGGGGTATCACATTGGTTCTTTGTTACATCATCTCTTCTCTCATAAGAAGTCAAATGATTACTTAGAAATGATGTTCCACCACCTTATAACCTTTTACCTCTATGCTTTCAGCTATATGTCCAATACACTTATCGGTGCCGTTATAGCTTATATTCATGACATAGGCGATATTGGAGTTACTTGGACTAGATCATGGTCTGAGTCTAATTACAAATTGACAACAGCTATCTCTTTTGTCTTTACTTTAGTTGCTTGGTTCTACACTCGATTAACCATGCTGCCGTGGTGCATTTATGTAGCGACAATCAAACTAGAGGTGTACACTATTAGCCCATACATCCAGCCAATCTTCGGTTTCCTCTTAACTTGCTTATTTGTCCTACATATCTATTGGTTCATTCTCTGCCTTAGGATCCTCCTTAACTTTATTGACAAAGGAGAGGCAGAAGACCTCCAAAATAGAAGCGGCAAAAAGTCAGAGTATGAGAAGTCGAATGAATTGGCTAAAAACTAAGGTAATAAAGGGGAGGGCAAATAAAGTAAGGTAGAATGATTAGCATTAGAAGATCTACCTTTGCAGATGTATTCTGAGGGTTAACCTCCTGAATATATATATTAAACTTATGATTTAATCCTACTCTAGCTCATTATTTTTTAAAGTTCTTTAATTTTTTCTAATTACTAATTATGCTAACGGAAAGCACCCCAGGGGGTTTTGGGGTTTTGGGGTTTTGGGG